GTTTTCCTTTGCATTTGTGGTGTTCAATTAGTTAGTATCACATAGTTATATACAGTTCATTGAAGACACATTTAACAATTTAGCAATTTTAATAACTGAACCAGCACCAAAGTTTGTTGAGTTATACATATGTGCATGTCTGACCACATTTTTTTGAATTTTTTTTTTTTTTAGATCAATGATGCCTTCCATCATGTGACAGAGCGCAAAACCATGGGCAAGGTGCTTCTCTCTTTAAAATAAACCCTCATCTCAGCAGCAAACTCAGTATGTCCAAATTCAAACTCATCGTCTTCCCCCCCCCAAAACCCTGATTTCCCTTCTGTGTTTCCAAAATGTTACCAAGTTTCTTACTAATCCAGGTGTAAAATCTTAAGAGTCACCTTTGATTCTGTTTTTCTATTGCTTCTAATTTAGTTTGATAACATAGTTTATTGTCCAAACTTGTACTTTTTTGAGAATAAAAGGTACTACTAATAACTACATCAGGAAAAGATGTCCCAGGCAAACCAGGATATATGGCCACCCTACTCATAATGCAGCAGTCACCAAGTTCTCTCATTCCAATTTCTAAGATACATCTCACCTCCAAATCTCTTTTCTATATGACTAATTGCGTCTCATCAGCTATCTCCAGTGACCTTCTGTCTTTCCTTCCTTTAAACTATCCCACCCCCTCCATCCTTATTATGCATTATTGCTGTGGTGATCTTCCTAAAGCAGAGTTCTGACCGTGTCTCATGTCAGAAAACCTACAGTGGCTCACCATGGCCTACATCAAGGAATCAGATTCCTTGAGCTGGCATTTCATTACAGCCATGATTTTGCCCTGCTCTACTTCCCAGCTTTATTCTCTGCAACTCCACTGGTGCCTAAGTAGACAGTCTTACAGTGGGCTCTCCTTCCTTTGCTCATGCATTTCCTCTGTGCTTCATCTCTGTCAAACCTAAGCCTTCCTGACCTCTAAGACCTACCTTGGCCATGTGCCTTTACCCTTGGGAGAGTGGTGTCTCTTCTTCTCTTCTACCTTCCTGTAGCTTCTCCTCCAAGATTTGTCTCTTTTTGCCTTGAACCATAGAGAACAACATATGTAGTGGATTGAACACAGTTTTTGAATCCAAGGTGTGGGTTCGAATCTCAAACTCACCACTTTAGGTTATTTAAGATTTCTGTAGCTTTATTTTTCTCGCAGTAAAGGGGACATTATGATATCTTCCTCACAAAGTTTTTGGGTAAGCAATTAGCAAATGCTAGTTACTTTCACTTCTTTCTCTTCTTCTTTTTTTTTTTTTTTTAAGAGACAGAGTCTCACTCCAGTGTTCTTGTTAGAGCTCACAGCAACCTCCAGTTCTTGGGGTTAGGTGATTCTCTTGCCTCAGCCTCCCAAGTAGCTGGGACTACAGGCACCCACCACAACAGCCAGCTATTTTTTGTTGCAGTTTGGTTGGGGTTGGGTTTGAACCCACTACCCTCGGTATATGGGGCAGGTGCCCTACTCACTGAGCCACAGGCACTGCCCACTTCTTTCTCTTCTCCTTTCCCAATGTATTATCAATTCCTTGAGAGCAATTCACCTTTTACTTCCCACAGTACCTACCAAAGTAAGTTACCTTTGGTAAATACTCAATAAATTGAATTGAATTCGAATTATCTGCAACTTTTACATGTGGGATTGAATTAAGAATATGTTGCCCTGGCTCGGCGCCTATGGCTCAAGTGGCTAAGGTGCCAGCCACATACACCTAAGGTGGCGGGTTCGAATCCAGCCTGATGGCTACAGCCAAAAAAGGGCCAGGCGCTGTGGCGGGCGCCTGTAGTCCCAGCTACTTGGGAGGCTGAGGCATGAGACTCGCTTAAGCCCAGGAGTTGGAGGTTGCTGTGAGCGTGATGCCACGGCACTCTACCCAGGGGGATAACTTGAGGCTCCGTCTCAAAACAAACAAACAAACAACAACAAAAAAAAAACCAAGAATATGTTGCCCTAGAAATAACCCAAAGTCCTTTGACAGGTGAATGGATAAACAAAATATGGTATATGCACACTATGGTATAATATTCAGCATTTAAAAGGAATGATCATCTGACATGTACTACACCATGATCAATCTTGAAACATTGTAGGCCAGATACAAAAGTAAAGATACTGTCTGATTCTACTTAGTGCCTAAAGTAATCACATTCATACAGACAAAGTACTGGTTGAGCATCCTAAATCCCCAAAATCTGAAATTTGAAATGCTCCAAAGTCTGAAGCTTTTTGAGTTCTGACATGATTGCTGCTCAAAGGAAATACTCACTGGAACCTTTCAGATTTTGGATTTTCAGGTTCAGGATGCTCAACGAGTATAATGAAAATATGCTAAAATCTGAAATCCAAAACGCTTCTGGTCCTGAGTACTTTGGGTAAGGGATGCTCAACCTACAGAAGGGTGATTGCCAGAGGGAGGAGGGGCTGGAGAGTTATTGTTTGATGGTATAGAATTAGTTTGGGTGGATGGAAACGTTCTGGAGGTGGATTGTGGTGATGGTGGCACAACAGTGGGAATGTATTTAATGCCGTGGAGCTATACACTTAAAAATTGTAAATTTTATGTATGTTTTACCACAGTGAAAAAAATTTTTAAAAAAGAACATGTCCTGACTCCTGAGTGAATCTATTCTGGGAAGAGAACAGGGAGTGTGTGTAGAGTGCCCTGCTTAGGTTGAAGAAAGCTCCAGTCGGCCTGGGTCCTAGTTTGTCTGGAGAGGCTTTTTATCATACTTTTTCTGGGTGGTAAACATTGTAGTTTATTCTTCCTGCTGTATGAATGAGAATTCTCAAAAAGGAGCGGGTGGGGATGAAAACAGGCACCTGACACAGCAGGAACTCAGTGTGGACGTCTACTTATTCCTGATGAGGTTCGCTTTCAGCAAATGTGGTAAGAGGCTTGGTTTTCTAAGTACCTCAGGCCATTTAAAAACACCCATCTTCTCAGGAACTCTTCAGCAAAAAATACATATTTTTTGAAGAATAGAATTGTAAAATAGGGATGAACATTTGGAGAAAGAATTTGAAGCTGAAAAATTAGCAGAAGGAAGGGGGAGGAGAAGGATGGCAGGGAAACCGTCCACATGTCCATCATGAGCCCATGTGGTGCTTTCATGAGGCCCAGTGTTCCTGCTGCCTCTCCCTGTGCTTCAGTTAGTATGCCTCAGCCTTCTAGAGCTTGATACCTAGTGGTTCCATAATAATATACCTCTTTTCGCCTCCCTTCCCCTGACCCACTACACCTTAATATAAATTACGTTTGCATTTACAGGAAAGTTGGTTTTCAGAAATATTAAGAAACTCAACTTTGAGTCTAATTTGGAATTTCCCGACACTATTCGGCATCATGGATGACATGCTGAGTAGACCCTGGGCGAGAAGGCAGACAAACCAGAGTTGGTAAAACTGCACACACACCGCCAGGAGCTGCCCATTCTGCTGCTCACAGCTGATCAGTAGGTGTCACAAGTAATAAAAGTCTATTGTCTCCAGTTCACTCAGGTCCAAATGACTTAGATTGAAAGAGGCAGTCATTAAGGAGAGCAAGTTTCTTCAGATTTAACAAGGACTGGTAGGAACCTCTAATGAACTGCTCTCTGCTTGCCTGTGTTCCTGCTTCATTGGAATGATTTGATTTGAAAGTGTTTGACTCATATTTTAGTCATCATTTGGTTGTTCTGCCATCTGAGCCATTAGTTGGAAAAAAGAATAAATGTAGCTCCAAGTGACAGTATTTATTCTGTATCTACCAACTTTCCCCCACTCCTCCTGGGAGGCTGGCTGCTGGAGAAATCACACCCACACATCCACTTCTCCCTGTTCAGTAACTGTGCATCTGTCCACCTGCACACTCTTCTCTCAACAAAGTGGGGTTTGTGCTATTAGCTGTAGCATGACCCTATCGACACCACCAGGATATTTGTTGGTGTTTCTTCCTCGTAATCTGTGTGAATTTAGAAAACAATCTTTTCTATTTGAGCTATGATAAAGACAATAAAAGCTTTGTTATTTGACAGGTGAAGGGAAATAGTGGTGCCTGCACATACTGGCTTGTCTTTAATAAAAAGAAATCCTGAGTAAACTAAGAAAAATTCATGCTATTATTTCTTTCTCTTATTTTCCCTTCCAAGTTTGTAAAGGCAATCAAAGAGCAGTGATTTAGGGGGAAAATATTTTTTGTTGTTGTTGTTAAAAATCGTGTGAGGGCTTGGTGCCTGTGGTTTGCACCAGCCACATACACCAGGACTGGTGGTTCAAACCCAGCCTGGGCCAGCTAAACAACAATGACAACTACAACAACAACAAAAATACAGGCATTGTGGCGGGTGCCTGTAGTCCCAGCTACTTAGGAGGCTGAGGGAAGAAAATTGCTTAAGCCTGAGAGTTTGAGGTTGCTGTGAGCTGTGATGCCACAGCATTCTATCCAGGGGGACAGCTTGAGGCACTGTCTCAAAAAAAAAAAAAAAAAGTGACAAGTGGTTACTAGGAAGGCTGTATTGTACTGTGGCTAAAGCACTCTCCTCTTGATGGAGGACTAGGGGTGGGATTTCTAATTCTAGCGCTTTGATCTTGGGATAGATGCATCTTTTTACTTTTTTTCATGTGAAAAGTAAGGATCATGTGTTTTTTCTACCTTGCATGATTCACAGAAGGGTCAGATGAGATAATGTACGTACAAATGCTTTGCAAATTGCCATTTTCGTAATAGATTACAAATTTATCTTATCCCAGTGCTTTAAAATTCATTTCAGAATTCAATCAATTTTATTTCACTGAAGCAAAAATGCATATTTTTTCAGCATATGCTGGGCTAACACAGAGCAAAATAATTGTTTGATTTTTTAAAAAAATGGCTTTCAAATATTTTTACATTTTGGTTGAAGTCATTGTACTCTTTTATACAGAAGAATGGACAAAGTGATGGGGGCCTGATGATCTGATGTATCTCAAAGACATGCAGAGCCAGACAAGGTCTAAGGAAGGACACCTAAATTGATCAAGAGGGTAGAAAGCGTTCTTTGTGAGGAATGATAAAAGATTAGGCCTCTTCATTCTGGAAAGACGCAGGGTGAGAGGGGAATATGATTGAAATTTATGAAATAATGGAAATCATAGGATTAAAATATGAACTTATTAAAGCTCGGAGCATAAGAACTTTATCTTTTAAAGAAATAGTTTTAGGACAAAGTAACAATAGTACTTTCTTTTTTTACACAAGAACAGTAAGCGAATAGAACTGACTACTCCCAAAGTTTGCTAGGACAAAAATCAAATATCATAAGAGAAGATTTATATTGTTGAAGGATAAAGTCATAGGAGATTATAAAATGAAACAAAGTATTTTGTTAAATCCTTCTAATCATCTAGGATGATGCCATAGAGAGTGACCACAATGTTTTCGTGTCTTTATCTGGCACCCTTGTCTAAATCAAGATTCCTGAATGGATGTGCCAGAAAGCAAACAGCATAGCATTTGGGCTCAGGGACCCTGATACAAGTATTACCTCTTGATCTTAGACTGCAGTGGTGCTCAACCTTCCTAATGCTTGACCCTTAACACAGTTCCTCATGTTGTAGTGACCCCCAACCATAAAGTTATTTTTGTTGTAATGCAGTTCCTCATGCTGTGGTGACTGCCAACCATAAAATTGAAGGGTCACAGCATCAGGAAGGGTGAGAACCACTGCTTAGCAGGCGTCCTCAAGCTATAGCCCATGGGCCACATGCGGCTGGTAAGGACATTTATCTGGCCCGCCGGGTGTTTTTGCCACCACTGCCTGTCCTGCTTAGCAGCCGACTCATCCTGGGGCCCGCCTCCAATGGTTTGAAGGACAGTGAACTGGCCCCCTGTTTAAAAAGTTTGAGGACTCCTGGCTTAGAGCATCACTTATTTTCTCTGTATCCTAGTTTATCCACCTGTTGAAAAAAAAATAAAGAAGAGGGGTGGCACCTGTGGCTCAGTGAGTAGGGCACCGGCCTCATATGCTAAGGGTGGCAGGTTCAAACTCAGCTCCAGCCAAACTGCAACAAAAAAATGGCCAGGCATTGTGCCAGGCACCTGTAGTCCCCGCTACTTGGGAGGCTGAGATAAGAGAATTGCCTAAGCCCAACAGCCCACAGCTGGAGGTTGCAGTGAGCTGTGATACCACAGCACTCTACTGAGGGCGATAGAGTGAGACTCTGTCTCTACAAAAAATAAATAAGAGAGGGGGAGATAATACCAATATTAAAATCTCTCTGTTGCGTTTTGTTGTTGATAAACAGATATCATCCTTATGAGTGTTAAGATTTCTGTTTTATTGGAGCATTTCCAGTTCTATGTCCTCCGGTGGGTTGATCTTCACCTTAACCTTCCTCACCCTGGCTTCATTAGGGAGCAGTACTTACCAACTCAGAAATGAAAGAGATGAGTGAGGGCAGGGAATAATCCCTCCAGGGGGATGAAGAGAGTGAAGAAATGTCTTCTCTCATCTCAGCTCCCTCTCTGGAAAGGTCTGGTCAGGGAACTAATGGTAAGGAGGACTTTGCCAGCATCTTTCTTCTCCTTTGGATGTTTTGGGTGATAAGAGGCCACCTAAAAGATGGGGGCAGCCTGGGCAACATAGCACCATTCCATCGCTACAAAAAATAAAAGAAGTATTAGCTGGGCCTGGTGGTATGCCCATATTCTTAGCTGTTCAGGAGGCTGGGCACAGAAGTTTGAGGTTCCAGTAAACTGTGAGAATGCCACTGCACTCCAGCCTGAGTGACAGAGTGAAACCTAGGCTCTAAAAGGAAAAAAAAATGGGTGAGTGGTTTGGTCTTTGTGTAACTTCCAGGGTTTTTGTGGATCTAAAAAGCCAGAACAGGGGCCAGCTGAGAAAAGCATGGGGGCTGGTTTCTTATGGCTTCTCATAGATTTAGGATTTAAAGGAGAGACAAAAATATGACCATAACATTTCCTTTCAAGATGGCCATTGCAGTTCACAAGTGCAAGATGGTCTTGCCAGTTCACAATGGCAAGAAAGCTGATGAAGATCTAGGGAGAGACAGTGTCTTGCCTGGAGGATCATCTGAATTCCACGTGTAGCTCTTAGGAATTTGATTTGGCAGAAGGGGAGGCAACTCTAAGGAAAGAGAACTGGTAACAAGTAACTTCCTATTTCTTCCATAGCACATACGAGCTGCTTCACATGGCTCTCAAGCACTACGTTCAGCAACTCACCTGGCCTTATTTCCCATGTGGTACGGCGTGATGAGAATGGCCCGTGAGCCAGGCAGCTCTGGATTTGAATTTTGGCTTCCCCACTAATTAGCTGTGTGAGCTGTTTCCAATCCATTAAATGGTGATAATAATAGCCCCCTTATCAGTGAGTGGCAGTGAGAATGAAATGAGATTACATTTGTGAAGCACTTAGCATCGTGCTGGGCACATTGCAGACCCCAAATAAACGGCAGCTCTGTCATGACCCACATGTGCCCTCTACTCTAAGGAGAACGTTTGCTGGACTACAAGCTCTGGGAAGTGGGGGCCGGGACGTGCTTTGTTCACCAGTGTCTGGGGCGCATGCACAGTGCCTGACAGTTGTGCAGATTGTATCCATTCAGGGCCCAGCTGAAGACACATTTCCTCAGGGAAACAAGCTGGTATTAATCTTGCTCTCCTCAGATCTCCCATAGACCCACAGATGTGCGCAGCTGTCTTGTTGCACACGTATGGGGTGCTGAAAAATCTGTACACATTTTAAGAAAGGAAAAAACTGTATTAAAATTATAATACTTAATATATACTGACTTTCATTATTTATTTATTTATTTTTGAGACAGAGTCTCACTATGCCTCCCTTGGTAGAGTACCATGGCATCACAGCTCGCAGCAACCTCCAACTCCTGGGCTTAGGCGATTCTCTTGCCTCAGCCTCCCAAGTAGCTGAGACAATAGGTGCCCACCACAACAGCTGGCTATTTTTTTGTTGTAGTTGTTATTATTGTTTGGCAGGCCCAGGTTGGGTTTGAACCCACCAGCCTTGGTGTATGTGGCTGATGCTGTAACCACTGTGCTACAGGCACCGAGCCACTTTTGTTATCTTGTATATTATATCTTGTATCTCAGATTTCCTTTCTTAAAATGTGTGTGTGTGTATATATATATATTTTCCGGCACAGTGGCTCACTCCTGTAATCCTAACACCCTGGGAGGCTGAGGTCAGTGGATTGCTTGAGTTCAGGAGTTTGAGACTATCCTGAGCAAGATCAAGACCCTGTCTCTAAAACTAGTGGGAAATTGTGGTGGGTGCCTGTAGTCCCAGCTACTTGGGAGGCTGAGACAGAAGGATCGCTTGAGCCCAGAAGTTTGAGGTTGCTATGAGTTATGATGCCACAGCATTCTACCCAGGGTGACAGTGAGACTCTGTCTGAAAAAATAAAACAAAAACAGAAGCAAAACCAAAATATATGTATATTCATTTTTGGTCCCTCTGGATATGTTAGTCTTATCCTTAAATGATGTTCAACAAACATTTAGTGGAACTTGCTATGATCCAGGTCCTGGGTTAGAGGTGCAAGCAGGAAGTGCATCCCTCAGACTCAGGACCTAGTCTGATCCTTTGTCTCCTATGTGGAACCCAGTGCCTATGCTGTCTGAGACCTGAGGGAAAACTATTACCTCTCAAGTGCTACCTTTGATACGTGATGCAGTGGGGTGCTTTGCAGGGACCTCTCCCATCAAGGGCCTGGGACATGTAGGGGCTTACAGCCAGGATTCCTCCCTCACTCCCGGTATCTTGGAGCTGGGAGGACTGTGTGGGGCATCTGTATTATTGCTGATTTGCCTCAAAAAACACAAAGTGGCACTCAGAATATCTTGCTCAATAAAAAACAGCGTTCGCATGCCAATTGGTGCCACTTTCATGTGACATATGGTGGTTGCTTAAAAGATTCCCCTCCCTTTCCTTTTTGTTCTGAAAATTGCAAAAGCCAGTGGTAGAAGCCGGGGCAGGTTCGATGAATGGCTTTGTCCTTTTCCTCTCTGGAGGGAGAACTGAGGGCTGTGCCTTTCTGAAGGCGAGTGTGAGGAGCGTGTGTGAGGAGCAGGTGTGAGAAGCAGGTGTGAGGGGTGGGGTGAGGGGCGGGTGTGAGGAGCCATTTGAGGGGAGGCACCAGCACCTCCTGCCTCTTGTGCATCTCCTCCCATCTGGTTTGCTCATGTCCCAGTCCACTTTCTGATTCTAGGCCACCCTTCACAGTGCCAGGGGAGCCAGGAGCCACTGTGACCCACTCGGGACCCCTCCCTGCAGTTTCCAAGTAACCCAGCTCTTCCTATTGAACGGTTCCCTTTTGACTTCAGCTTGTAAAATTTCTGATTGATTCATTTATTTACTTATTTCATTTTTTATCCTTTCTTTTGCTTTAAAGGTTATCTTTTTAAAGGTAAAAATAACCACAAGGAGACCTTGTGATCCTCTTCTCGGTGACCCAGATATTTTAAGAGCAGATATTTTAAGAGACTGACAGCGGCTTCTCATCTGGGGATACAGGCCAGCTCTCAGGAGCCAGGGAGCTAAATGTAATAATAAAATATTAATCCTATTTCTCATACACGAAGCACTCTCCTTGTTTTTTCTTACCTATCCAAACCCTACTAATTCTTCCATGTATTGTAGGAAAAACCTTAGACTTGGGAATAAAAGATGTGTTTAGTTCCTGACTTGTTGCAGTTTTTTTTTGGCCAGGTTTGAACCCACCACTTCCAGCATATGGGGTCAATGCCTTACTCCTTGAGCCACAGGTGCCACCCAAGTTCCTAACCTCAGGTGAGTCACTCCATGTCTGCAAACCTCAGTTTCCTTATCTGTAAAACAGAGATCCCAAGAATCTCATGGAGTAAAGGTAGAGGGTGGAGGCTACAGGCTGAAATTTATAGAATAGCCCCAAAGAAATACTTGTCAAACTCCAGAAAGCCCAATTTGAGTGATCCTGGAATCACTGATCTCTCCTATTTTTGAATCTCTATATTATTGAGCCTATCCACACCACACAATTTAACAATTAACTGTACCTCATCTTTAATATGTGGCCCTAGTTTTCTTTGCATCCCCAGCCATGGGTAAGTTCCTAGTAGACGGTGCTGTGCATTCATTCTATTTTCTTGTGTCAACATTACAATAATAGGCACTTAATCCTTGATAATTGATGGATGGGGTACATTACCCATTTAACTAAATTCGGGTTCTGTAGCTCAACACAGTTTTTTTGTGTGTGTGTCTTTATCTCTCTAGTTTCACCACGTGCTGCTAATGGTGAGATAGCAGGAAATCTTTTAGGCTTTCATTATCTTGTCAAATTGTGGCTTCTTATCAAATATATGCTACATGTGTATTCAAAACTACTGCTGACCTGCTATGAACAGAAAGTTTGTTTTTCGGGTTTCCCTCGTTTAGCTTTGTTTTCTCACTCATGCAGTTTTGAGGAAGGCCTGCTGAGCTGCGTGAGTACCTGATGAGGCTGCCCCTTCCCCTGCTGCACACTGATGTCTGTAAAGGAGGCCTCTTCGGGCTCTGACAGGTATTCAAGGGATTTAGTACTGCCCCAAAGGGCCTGTGTTCTTTGGATAAGAACACCAGCCGTCCCATCACTTCGACAAACTGCCTGTTGTGGGTTGAATTGGGTCCCCTACCTAAAAACATAAGGTGAAGTCCTAGCGCTTGGCACCTGTGAATGTGACCTTATTTGGAAATAGGGTCTTTGAAGTTATAATCAGGATTAGGTCCTACTGGATTAGGGTAGGCCCTAAATCCAATGTCTGGTATCCTTAGGAGGAGAAAGATTTGACACACACAGAGGGAAGGCCAGGTGAGATGGAGGCAGAAAGTGGAGTGCTGCAGCTCTGAGCCAAGGAATGCCAGGGATAGTTGGGAGCCATCAGAAGCTAGAAAGAGGCCAGGACGAGGGAGAGGCTCTCCCTTAGCGCCATCAGAGGGAGCACAGCCCTGCTAACACTCTGACTTCAGACTTCTAGATCCCAGGACTGTGGGAGAAGAAAGTTCTCTGTCTGCAGGAGTAAGCCAGTCATTGCTTAAAACACAGACATGAGAGAGACATTGATCAAGAGGTTGAGGATATAGGGGAAGGGGCCACCAATCCATCATCCCTACACCTTCGCACTGTCCACCATGACCTTACGTCTTACCTTCCACATTTTCTTGCCTAACCCGAGTCCATGGTCCTACTCAATCCCCTTGCTCTCATGCTCCCTCTGATGCCTTTCTCTGGTGACCCCCAGACCTGACAAAACTCTTCCTCCCTACTCACATCTCCATTTAGGCACCAGCTCGCAGAATGTGGAGAGACAAAAATAGACAGTATGAAGCTCAGGTGTGGTGCTGCCTAGTTGATTCGCTTTTCTAGTCCCTGCGAGGCTATTTTATACCTCCCCCCAGCCCAACTCCCTCCAGTGTCTGGCCCTCTCACTACTCCATTAGGTTCCTGCCTCCAGACATTTGCCCTTATCGCTACTCTGCCCTCCACACTCCCGTGTGTTCCCTTTGCTTGCTGTGGACCACCCCTCACTGGATTTCAACACTCCTTTCCTCTAGTATTGTGACTCCTCTGCCTAAACTAGCCTCCACTCCTGACCCTGAAACTTTTTTTTTTTT